AAAAATATATAAAAATAAAATAAAATAAAAATAAAAATAAAATAATTAAATTCCTAAACAAATGCAGACCATCATATACAATTAATTTTAACAAAGAAAGGGAATACACATAATTTGAGCACACAATTTAATTTAAACAAATAATTCAATTAACACATAAACAATTAAATCAATTAAACAAGTAAACAATTAGCCAAGAAATCAAATAAACAATTAAAAATGCAATTAAAACAATTAAAATAATACCGAGACTATCCTTTTGAAATTAGGGGTTTTACACTTAGGCTATGTTTGGTAGGATGGGTTTGAAGGGGGAGGATAACATTAGTTATAAGGGAAAGGGAAGGAAAGGGAAGGGAAGGATAAGTTTAATCCTCAATCGTGTTTGGTTGATTAGTGAAGGAAAAGAAAGGGAAGGATAACAATCATGTTTGGGAAAAGAAAGGAAAGGGAAGGATAATAAAAAATTTACTATTATGCCCTTTATATATTTTAACAGATAAATTTTTAGATTTAAATATGCAACAATATTTTTGCCCCAAGATTCGGTTCTAAGGCTCAGTTTGGTAGCAAATGCCACATTCATCTTCTCTTTCCAAATCAATATTTCAAAACTCAACAGCACTTAACTAATTTATGCAGTGGTATTGAGGCTAAGCAACCCAACTCTGCCATGAGAAAATCTGCTCGTGTGCAGCTGATTAAGAATGGGAAGAAGATCGCTGCATTTGTACCCAATGATGGTTGCTTAAACTATATTGAGGAGAATGTAAAAGTCTTCGACAAAACTAGTGTAGATCTTCTTTAATTGCTTGCTTTGTGTTGTAGGACACAAAGTAAGCTAAATCTTATAAAAGGAGCCGGCTCAAGTAAAAGTGGAGGAGGCTCCAATATGAATGGAGCAGGCTCTACTTTAAGTAGAGGAGGCTCCAATATGAGTAGAGCAGGCTCCCAAAATGGGAGGCGGCTCCTTTCAAGAAAAATTGTTCTGGGAACCAATTTTATGTCATGTTAGGTGGCAGAAGTAAAACAAAGAAAAAGAAATGCAATTTACCCAAAAATAAAAAATAAATAAATAAAATGTAACTCACTTTTATTCCTAAAATGAAGTTGAAATAACATTCATACTCAAGAGCACAAATGAATTTCCTATTAAAAGTTTGATTTCCTTCAACAAAAAAGATGATAAAATCAACAAAACAATAATAAAGTCAATGAAATAATCATATTGGTAAGTACTGAAACAATCAACAGATCGCATAGAAAACCCAATTACTAGATCTTCCTTCAAGTAAGTAACAACAGAGAAAAGTAAAAAAATGATCATTAATTTAATCTTTAAATTTGGCTTCTTACTTTTTTGGGTGAGAGGGGTTTGATCACAAATGTAATCAATGATGATCAACAACATAAAACAGTAAGTTAGGTTCTTTCTGACTTTATTTATAAAAAAAAAAAACTTAACAACCCAAGGCATGAAGTGGATCGAACATACAGATCCACCAATTTCTTGCAAATAATGACCCCAAATTAGGAAGTGCCGAGATATAATGGGAATAGGACACTTGAAGGGAGCCGGCTCAACCATAATCATGGAGCCGGCTCTTATGGGTTTTTGAGAAGTGCCGAGTGGAGCCGGCTCTTCCTTTTTGTAGAGCCGGCTCCACATTTTTTTTGGAGCCGCCTCAAGTAATTGCTGGAGCCGGCTCTCTTGGGCAATTGAGAAATCCCGAGAGTTGGTGTATGCAGGCCAATAATACAGGCCCTAATATGAAGAGCAAATTTGAGGGTAAAATTGGCTTAACAAATATTTTGTATGCCATTGCCTGCCATTGCCTTCCCTTTCCTTCCTTATCCTCCCAATTTTGGAAGGTTAAAAAATTACTGTACGTTGCTTATAAATAACCCTCCAAACCCCTCCCTCTCCTTCCCTTTCCCTCCGCTAACTTTACCCAAACACAATTTTCTTATAACCCTCCATCCCCTTCCCTTCCCTTTCCCTTCAAACCCATCCAACCAAACTGACCCTTAAGGTTTCAAGAATTTGGGATTTAAGGGGTTTTTTTTTTTTTTTTAAATAAAAATATATTAGAAAGCGTTCAAAAGGGAAACGCGTCCCAAGAGCTGTATAAAAACCAAATAAGAGAAAGGGGGAGACCTATGGACCCAAAGAACCCAAAAAGTCCACGATTTCATCTAAAAATGTACAATTTAAGGTATTTGGAGGAAGAGGGGAAGAGAATGATGATGCTTTGATTGATGATGACCATGATGATGCTAATTGTCTTGGTGGAGTTCTGAACTGGAAAGAAGAAATGGATTTTGAGAATGATGGAGGTGGTGATGGAGTGAAAAAGTGGTTGGTGATGGTACTGTACGCAACAATGGGTCTATGGGTAAAGTGATAACATATGGTATTTTAAATAGTATTTTTTGCCCGTTTCTATTTCTATTGAGAGTATATAAGTCATTTACTATAATAAATTGAGGGCATTTTAGTAAATTAGACAGGTCCATTAGTTCATTTGACGGTCCGTCACTAGGAGGGGAGGTTCGTGTAGGTTAGTTTCATTTTTAAGGGAGGTCTGTGTAAATTACCAAACCATAAGGGAGGTCTCTGTAATTATGGCAAATCATAGGGGAGGTCCGTATAATTTACCTTTAAATAATGAGGGGGCAAACTGTTAAATAAAATTAGATGGCCAATTGGGAATTATAAATAACTTTTTTGATGATGTCATCTCTGACCATCTTTGACCATTACGTGAAGGGGAACTGATACGTGTCTTGTCGCATTTATTAAATAAGTTAAGTGGGTTTTGTCGTGTTAACCCATGTAATAAGCGTGTTGTGTTTATGTCAAGGTTTCTTGACACAGATAATAATCGTGTCGTGTTGTGTTGACCTATATAACATAATACTCATGTCTTAACACGATACGAACACAACCCGCAAACATGAATTGCCACCCCTAGATATTAGCATAGCTTATGATTGGGTGGAATAAATGTGTTTGTTGAAGGTCATGGGATGCATTGGTTTTGCTAATGGTTGGGTGCAGCTTATGAAGACATGTGCTTCCCGGAGGAGATGCAAGAGAATTCACAACATCAATAATCAAGACCCCATTCACAGACGACATCAAGTTAATGGATATCCCAGAAAAGTTCAGATTGCTTACCTTCAAGACTTCACCCCGTTTGATGAACTGGAGATCCGACTCACCACCTTGCTCGCTATGCTCAAAAGATGGCCATGCACACACACAACAACCGCCTCATATGTAAAGCCTTCCCAACAAGTCTAGCAGGAGTTGCCTTAGAAAGGTTTAGAAATAGACCCCACAAGTCAATTTCAAGTTTCGAGGAGCTTTGTGTTGTGTTCTTGCCCAGTACTGCAATAACAAAAAATAGAAGAAGACTATATCCGGTCTTTTTGCCTTGCGGCAGATGAAAGGAGAGGAGTTGCAAACCTTCAACACCCGGTTCAATATGGAAGTAGCAGGGATCCCTGATTGCCAACAGCCAACAGCCGTGGAAGCTTTCAAAATTGCTATGACCCAAGGTACCAAGTTCCATACATCCCTGATTAAGTACTCTCCACCGGATATGCCTACACTCAATGCCCGAGCACAGAGTTACATAAGGCTTGAAGAGAACGAAGCAAACCGAAGCCACCACTCAACCTTGATTTCGGTTGAGAGTAAGTCAAAAGAGAAAAGCTTCGGCACCAAGAGTTCGAGGAATCCTTCAAATTCGGTCTTCTCAGCTGCAGAGAAGAGGCAAAAAACCGAGGAAAGGGTCACTCCCATAAAAACAACTCTAGCCAGGCTCTTCTAGGAGAATAAATCCAAGTTCCCGATTCCCCCTCCAATCAAGCAACCTCTCGAGCAGAGGGACAAGAGTAAGCATTGTGCTTTTCATAGAGATTATGGTCACACTACTAATGATTGTAGGACTCTTAGACAACAAGTGGAGTCCATGATTGCTAAAGGAGACCTAGCCGAGTACGTCCAGCCCAAGGAGCAAACAAGGCCAGGGGAGGTGGGAGCAGGCAACAAGAAAGCAACTGCAGAAGCAAATCCCATACGAGTAATTCATGCTATACATGGAAAACCCGAGGAAGAGGAAGAAACAGAATAGACATACAGGTCAAGGCTCAGACAAGTCCACAAGTTGAGAAAGCTGAGTGCAGTTAACACAATCAGCTCCGGAACCTTTAACACTTACACAATCATTAAGCAATTCTCTTTGAATATTGTCTTTCATTCTAAAGTGTCAAAATTTTTGCACGTACAACTGGCAAATTTGGAAGGCCAGAAATGTGTGGGTGTTTCAAAGCAGATGTGTGAAGCGTTGATATTGCTAATTCTTTGCTGTTCAGTGCATGGAGTATATGGAAGTTATTTTGGCATTATTGAGGTCCAAAAAAGGAGATGGATGGCTCGTCCAGTATTTGGTTAAGTGGAGTAAACCTCGAGTTAGTGTTCTAAAAACTGGCAGCTGATGGTATGGTGTTTAGGGACTGTAGGGAAAGTTGGTTAAGGCTGCTTTATGCTAGTTCAACTGTGTTTCAAACCCCACAGTAGCCAAAGCACTGGCTATCAGGAAAGTTCTATCCTTGGTGCACCAGTGGAGTTCACGGGATGTGATCTTGGAATCGGATACCAAAGCAGTGGTTAAAGCGATGAAGCAAGATGCATCTTCCTCTAGGTACAGAAACTAGATCAACAGACTACAAATGAAGAAAAAATTTAATATAGTCAAGCTATTGAGGAGAAAGGTGATAAATTGTGGGAAGATAATTTCCCAGTTGGGCTGATTGCTAAATGTAGTATTGATGCTTGTTGATTTTGGCAATAAAATTCCTTGTTCTTGCTGTTGAAAAAAAAAAAAAATCTCCGACTAGACATATAAAAATTTGTGAATTTATTATATATGTATAACATTACTTTATAACAAAGCCAAGCACTGACAATATTTTGTCTTTATTTAATTTAGGGGGGAAACGCACACTAAAGCTTCCTCCAGAACTCGGATATGGCATGAGAGGAGCTGGATGTAAAGGAGGTGAGATATCTTATCATAATCAACTTTGCTAATCAATCTGGTACTGGTATCAATCTTGATTCTTTAACAATTTAACGTTGCAGGGTCATGTATTATTCCTCCTGATTCAGTTCTGTTGTTTGATGTGGATTTCATTGGCAAGGCGTGAAAAGGAGATCTCACATTCCTAAGGTCCACCGAAGAGTCATATAATGTATATTCGAAGAATTATTATTATTATTATTATTTGTTCTTAAAAAGAAACAGAGTCCACGCTTGTTCTCAATATTTCTGCTCGTCTCACATTGTAGTAAATATTTTATTATAAAATAAAAATAAGTTAAAAGGCAGTGATTATTCTGATCACCTTGAAGCGGATGAAGGTTTTGTAATTGTGGAGGTCGTATATCTATTGTTTTACCACCAAATCTTTAGTTAAAGTGGTATGTTATTATCATCTTCCATGCAAAAAATTTAAAAGAGGCCTCTTTGATTTTTAATGTCCATAGAAAAAACATTATTTATAACTCCATGATTTTTGTGTAACAATTTGTTCTTTCCATTTTTAAGATGAAAAAAGATAAAAGTAAATTGATCTAGAGTAACTTGAAAATCAAAGGATAAATTACATGATCTTTTCTTATAGTTTGTCATAATTACATGGATTTCACTTATGGTTTACAAAATTACACGAACTTCCCCTAAAAATGAAACATTGTTAGACATACCTCCTTTTTTAACAGTCGATGCGAGTCAACAATGGAATTTACTGATGTCATGAATAAATTAAAATTCTCATATTACCCTTCATTTAGCTCATCTCTCTCATTCTCTACCCACTTTCTCTTTATATATTATATTCACCTACTGGCCAACCACCACCGCCACCGCCGCCGCTAAAGTAATAACTGATCCATTACTGAAATTAGATCGCTTGGCGCTTAGAAACGGCGGATAACTCTTTACTTGTTCAAATGTCAAGGCAAAAATACTTCCGAAATTCTTCATTTTTGGAATCTGATTGCAAGAAGGGAGCCTCGTGGATGTGGAAAAGCCTAAATTCTGCAAAAGTAATTGTTAAATTGGGACTAAAATGGCGAATAGGGGATGGGCAGTCAATTAACATTTGGACTAACCCGTGGCTTCCAGGAAAATCAAATTGCAGGGTTTTATCAAAGAGGAATCGGGGACGTCTTCGGTTGGTGGCTGATTTTATTGACGACTGTAATAATTTTTAGAAGGTGGATATTATTAATGCAAATTTAAACACTAGGGACAAATTGAAGATTTTGCAACTACCAGTGAGTAGTGCGAAGGGGAAAGATATGAAGGTCTAGAGTTGGTCAAAGAAAGGAAAGTTCTCAGTAAATAGTGCATACTTCTTAGCCCTCTCTTATCTTAAAGGTATTTTTCACTCCCAGTCATTTGGCCCTCCACAAAACTCACAATGCAGCTACCTTCAACAACTTAGGAAGGGATGGAAAAATGTTTGGACGGTTCATTCTTCTAGGAAGGTGTAGTTCTTCTTGTGGCAAAGTTTGCATGAAAAGATCCATGTTAATGTTGATTTGAAGTTGAAGCGTATCATTGACTACTCTGTGTGCAAAAGATGTGGCCTAACCGACGAGAATGTTGACCACATGTTATGTATGTGTCCTGAATCCTAAGGAGTATGGAAAATGTGTCCTTTAAGGCTAGATTTTGCTGTTTCACTCCTAATGCGTTGGCCTAGACGTTGGGCTTCTCTTGTTGATGATTAGAAGGAAATGAATTGTTTTCCCTATTGTGCGGGTTTGGCTTTCTATATCTGTTGGCATATATAGAAGAGTTGAAACAATGGGGAGTTTAATCAGAAAAAGATGGAGCCTAAAGATATAGCAGGCAGTACGATTCAGGATTTTTTTTAGGGCCAAGAGATTCGTCGTCAACACCAGTTAATGCGGTCACAGCCTTCTCCCAGTCTCAACCATAGGTCTTTATGGTACCCTCCTCCAACTGGGTTTTATAAGCTGAATGTCGATGCTTCTTTTAATGGGAGATCACTCGAATGCAGGGGGGCGCTTGTTCTATGTAATCATGAAGGTATTTTGTTGAGAATTGCCTCTATTTCTTTCTCCCATACACCATCAGCCACAGTTACAGAAGGTTTGGTGTTGCGTGTTGCCCTTCAAGCGTGCTTGGAATTAAATTTGTCAAACACAGTTGGGGAAGGTGACTGTAAACTCAATTCGACGGAGGAAACTATGATCATGCAAGTTTTAAAAACTTTCTGAGAGATTTTCATACATAGATCTTGATTCATCACATAGAAACAAGTTTTATGCAAAAATAAACTATGAAGTATGATTCAATTAATAGATTAAATATTTACATCAAAGGTTTGAGTAAACCTTTAAATCTTTCATCTAAAGTGAATGTTCTCACTTATTATAAATCCCTTAGCAAGATACCTTCTCCTTGGATCTCCATCTTCTTGGTAATGGTCTCGCCTTTAGGAATTACCCATAAGTCTCCATTAATAACTTTGGAAAACTAGGCTTGTGGGAGCCTTCATTAGATGAGAAAACTAACCCTAAAATTATAAAGAGATAAAATATATTCCTTTTTTTCCAAAAGTCTCCCGTAAAATATACATGGACCATGTATATATAGGCAATATAAAGATAAGGAAAGAAAACAATAAATCCTTCTCAATCTCTAATTCACATATCTCAAATTTAATAGGATTCCAACATCAAGCTGGGTTATAAGTGAAAATACTTTGGGCTTATTATTTTCTTGGTTACAATGAATTAATAATTGGTCTTATCCATAGACCCAGTTCAATTAATTCATAAATTAATTTCTTCTCCACTAAAAGAAATTAATTGAACTCTAATTAAATAATAAATAACATCTAAGTCAATGTTGCACTTTGACCCCTCTATGCATAATTAGTTATCGAAAAAATAAAGCCATCAATTCGACTACTTAATTAATATATTTATTTTGGTACCTTTGATTATATCTGACTTTATCACAATAAAACATTTATTTGACAAAAATAATAATTTAAATAAATAAATATATAATAAATCATTTTGTCTAAAAACACACGAATGCCTTCGAATTTACTTTGTGATCAACCATAATTAATACAAAATAAATACAAGTAGCAATGATGCAAATGTTGAAAATATAACCCTCTAATTATTAATTACATGATTACCTAAAGTGCCGGTCTAAGGATTCCGAAGATTCCGCCGAACAAATCAAAGTAATTACTAATTAATAAAAGAGTCTATATTTTTCTCATGCTTAAGAGTCAAATGTCATGATGGTGATAGGGAGCAATTGCATACGACGGCTCTCGCAATATATCTCAACCTAACGCGGACTATGAAATATTTATGATTACTATTTATATTCATGTATTGATCGTCATCACATACATATATAAATATCTCTTGTAATCAAGTGGACACTATCAATTCCATAATGAATCGAAACATAATACATTGAATTCACTAATTATATAAAGCATAAATATTTTAGATATGTTAGGAACATATGTCACTTTAATTCAAATAGGAATTTGCTATGCCAGGGAATATAAATCCCAACAGCTCTCACTTGCCCTCATAGCTAATTCTAATGGCATCTAACTCTAATGTTATCCAGGTGACGATCAAAACTATTGATCAATGACACCTTTGTTAATGAATCAATAAAGTTATGTTCCAATGCAATGTTCTAACCATTAGTACATTTTCTTACCGGACAATATCATGTAAGACATGATACTTCCTATCAATGTACCTTGTTCCTCTATGGAGCCTTGGATCATTGGTTTAGACTAGTTCTGCACTATTGTCGTAATATAGCTCGTTAGGTAGGCTAGTATGCTCCACAACCTCTAAATCAGTTAGATCAAACCAAAAGGCTTCATTTGCTGCCTTTAAGGCTGCAATGTACTCCACCTTCAGGTTTCAGTCAGCAGTTGAAATCTGCTTAACAATCTACCAATTGATTTCCTTCCATTGAGTGAACAGACACTAAGTTATGGACCTTATAGTATCTACAACTGATTAAAAATTAGAACTAGCATACCCGACTGGGACCACATCATCACATCCATAAATGAGTATGAGATCATTGGTTCTCCTAAAGTACTTTATAATATTTTTTACAACAGACTAGTTATCAAGTTCGGGATTGGACTGATATCTACCAACTATCCCTACAATGTAGCGGATGTCCTGTCTGGAATAAACCATGGCATAAATGATACTCCCACATCCCGAAGCATATTATTCCAGTCTCATTTGCTCAATCTCTTCTGCTAGTCTTGGAAAACTACTTATTAAAGAGAGTAATCCATGTCAATAAAGCAAGAATTCATTCTTTGAGTTTTTCATACCAAACCTGGTCAAAACTTTATCAATTTAGGATTATTAAGATAAGCCTATTTTTCTTTTAACCTGATCTTGCAAAAACTTGATCCTAGGTACATAGCTTACATCTTGAAGATCCTTCATTTCAAAATAATTGAACAACTACCTCTTTACTGATGACAAAACTTCTGGTTTAATAACATTACCATGTACACACATGGTTCATTCACTAAGAAATCTTCTGATATCTTTTTGTAGATTAACTTATCTTCCATAGGTATCACCCTACTAGAAAGTTCTACAAGATCTTAGATTTTATTAGAACACATAGATTCCAACTCTGATTTCATAGCAACTTACCAAAACGATCTGTATCCATATCGGTTCACGCTTCCGTGTAACTTATTGGGTCCAACTCATGTTTAATAGGGATGTCCATAAATATCTCACCTAAAAACATTATTCTGTCGGATTGGATGATAATCCTCCCACTACATCAATGTACCGATGCAGGAATCTGTGTACTAGATGATGCCGATGCATCAATAAGGAATTCATATATAATTCTTAATCTCTTTAATAAGTGTGTTCATATGTGGTACAACTGGTACTCATACCAAATTCTCTAACATTATGCCACTAAGTATAAAAATTAATAATTTGATCCTCCTTTAGATAAACAGTGAGTATAAACAATCAACTTTTATCATTGAGATCATAAAATAATCCATCCTAGTGCCTTTAGAGTAGCTATCAAATCTATCATGCATATGATCTGCTTCCAACTTACTTGTCCATATCAAGTACACATATGCAAGACTACCCCATATGTGCATGTGTTTCAAACTAAGATTTAGTATTAAAAAAAAAAAACACACCTCAAAAGATATCCTTGAGACAGACTAAGATGGAATACAATTCATAAAAGATAATGAAGCATACCTGATCATAGATCTAACCATGTTAAGCAGAATTCTGTTATTCCTATTTGAC